TTTTTCACTTCCGATATTGAAAAAACATGCCCTTTGCGACTTTGATTATACTCCAACATATTATATTACAGGCAGAATTACTTCTGTCGATACTTCGAAAAAACCTACAAATCGGCGAATGCTTGTAAAATCACTAAAGATATGACATTACTGTCTGTATTATTATAAGTAATACCATGATCACCTCGGATTCTTTTGTCTTCCGAGGGCTTTACAAACCCGAATTTCCCGCATGCATAGAACATGAGGGAAATTTAGAAGACAAAAAAATCCTTTGTCTTTTAATAAATTTCCCTAAAGACAAAACTTTTATATGTTTTAATACGCATGTAAAGAAATGCTTCACTCCTTTAACAACTTTGCTCAAAGACAAGTAAATCCACCATTACTATACCTTTAAAATACCTTTAATTGTGTTTATAGATTATTATTCGCTATTATTCACTTCTGGCCTTGAAATGGCATGCCCTATAACTTCCTTTAAAACTTATTCGCCTACATATCGTATTTCAGGCAGAAGTATTTCAAGCCGTACATAGTATAAAAGCCAGCAGTACGGTGCACTATAAGACCACATCAGTGAATACTTGTTTAATCACTAGAGACATAACATTCGGCTATTTATGACCAAATGAGGTAAGTGGGATACAGTTAAGTATTTAGTACATATATATTACCCCACATATTTAGGGATTAGAGACTGAGGTAAGTGTTTTGTTTACAAATACACGCACGTACTGACTGTACAATAAATTAGAAAATATTCAATATTAAATGAGGCAAAACCGAGTGCGGTAAGAAGAAATTTATTCTACAGTCAGCAAGTGTATGCGTTTGTGAACATTAAACACAACCTTAAGTTTCTAACCATTTTAAAATCCAATCTGAGTACAGTGTTGTTCACGACTTTAGTCGTTTTTGACAATGAGAGACCGAACAAGCATGAGCAAAAATAGTAATAGCACGAACAAATCAGAAGAATAACTTAAATAATTCAACATTAGTTAAGTACATCGAAACTGAAAGGAAATATAATGAATATACTCGACACTGAAAAAATAATCAACTTTTGATGTGAGAATAGTGAGGATCTTTTTTTACGTCTTTGTTCCTTTCTTAGCTTATCGTGGTTTTGGTTCTGAAATGAAGAGAAATGAAATACTGAACATACTCGACTACTGAAAAAATCAAACCTTCTTTTGCCGAGATAGCAAGCACTTAGGCTTACGATTCGTTTAGGTTTACTTGAATTTTGTTTCAAATGAAAGCGACATACCAATTCGCTTAATATGAGACTTCCAGAGAAAAGGTTGCGCTTGACAGGGCACGTTTTTCGCATGAAGATCATTATTTATTTGAGTTTCAATATCATTGGCATCAAAATCATCTGATGTGAGAATGGTCTTGATAAAACATAGTTGCATTCTATTTGAAAGGTAGGAAATAAACCACTGCAGCGGCTAAATTATGAATACCGGATACGATTATAGCTTCTGAAGGACTATGTCATGTCAAATAAGAAAAAAAGGAACTTTCTGAAGTCCATAGTATCTAGCTCTGGTGTATTTCTAAATATATGTAAATAAGACTCCTATCATTGCAAAAACTTTTTTTTCTATTGAATACACTCGGGCAGTCCGCGATCGGGCGAGTGAAACATGTTTAATCGTGTTTATTGATTGATTACATTTTAAAAAAAAGACGTCATATTAAATTTCGACTTCCGGAACAAGCAATAACAGACTTTGTGCCCAGGGGTATTTTTTCTGAGAGCGAGAAAAACGAGCGACAAAATTTTAGCCCTTGGTTTCCAAAGGGTATATCAAGATCTTCAGTACACCGAGAACATGTCCCTCAACAACACAAATATAAGCTCATTTTGTGTAATTATACTAGCTGCAAAAGCTAAATAAACGGCAAATATTCGGTCTAATATACATTCTCATGAAAATAGACTTAGAAAACAATTTACTGCGGTTTTCCGATATTCTGCGAACTCAAACATTTCAACGGCTCATTGTGAAATTGCTTTTTACGGCCACCAGTCAAAAACATAAAAGTTACCCAACGATTATTTTTGATTGACGGCAGCGAAAAAACCAATTTTCAGTTTCAGCTTGTAATTACCGATAACAATAAAATGAAACGCTAAGAAGATCTTAAATTCCATTAAAAGAAGGAGCAAAGTTAAAAAACTAAACCTTTTTGACACTAAGTCAAATAAATTATCAGCGGCAAAAAATAAAAAGGAAAAACAGTGGGGAACTTAGAGAAAACAAGGCAGTAAGAGTCTCTTGTGAACAATTTGGTACTCTCTGTGTATTCAAATGTGTTTGTTCCTTCGCTATTCATGTTTTGATTCAGATATTCAAAGAAGTAATTTCTGTAATCGAAAATCAGCTTTAGGGGACAAACTGGTCGTGTTAAAGAACTACGCGCCTGAACAATGGTGTCGACTTATACATATTCAGTTTTTTTGAGTTTTGATTTTGTTATTAAGAGTAATAAAATGATGAAAATAAATTTCTAAAACGCATGCATTTTTACCTTTGCTTGAAATCGATCTTGTATTTACTGTGATTTTTTTTTAGAAATTTTTCATTAATTTCAAAATAAAGATTAATCATGGAAAATATGAAGAGTCAAGCAATTCTTAAAGAAATACTGAGTTCGAGTTCGAGTTGGACTTCAAGTTGGACTTCAAGTTAAAGTATTAGGATACGAAAAATGACGATTTGCTCGAAAAAAAAATTTTTTTTTGAAATTTCGTAACTTTAAACTTTTGTCTTTCACATGTTAAAACTTCTTGCAATTTTTTAAAAAGATCCTACATTGCGGTCGTCCAAATAACAGATAAATTGATGTGATCACAAAATGGAAGGCTCAAGGTGTTTTGACCAACACCGTCGTGGCTCCCTGCAGCTTCTGGCTCCAAACAAAGAAATGCATTTTTCTGGGTTTTTTTTCCCGCTAAAACCTCAACTTCAAAAAGCTAAAAGGCCCTTAGATTTAATTCGATTTTTTCTAAAATTTGGAGAGTTTAAAAAGTAGCTCATGATCCAAAAAAGGGTGTCTCCGATTTTTGAAATTTAATTTCTTTAATTTCATTTCTAAAGTTATGACGCTTTTTACTCTAAACAACACTCTAAAGCAATCGCCAAACTTTGATCAAAAATAACGAGAGACATAAAACAGATATCAAAAATCTTGGACACCGTTTTGGAGCTTATTTTCTCCTGAGTATGTTTAGATATTTTCCGCAAACATGGCTTAAAATGTACGTGTCCGTTAACGTTTTCACTGAGGCATGGTCAAATTTCGCTTGGAGGGCAATAATGTGAACAACAATTTAAAAAATCGTATTTTGAAGATGTCTTCATAAACTATGTTTACTCAGGTTTCAGAAAATGTATACTTTGTTTGTGTATTACTACAAAGTCATGGCGTTATTTAAGTTTGCGCGCATAGTGGTCGTAAACGTATCCTAATACCTTAAATTAAAGCCTGTCATTAAATAGCTACCGAAAAAGATAGGTTTTTTTCTATTTGTATTTTCTATTTCTTGACGAGCTGTTTTAATAAAAAATCTTAAATGTAAAACTTTAAATGAATTTAAGAACATAGATTCCGTCGGGTATAATCTGACGACACTATGTTTGACACAGGTATAAGAAAATATATCAATAAATAAAATATGATAAATAAATATCAAGGTTAAGGCAGTGAGTGATTGACGACGAGAAGGGGTAGGTGGTAGGTGGGTTGAAAAAGTTGAGCGTGCGAGACTTATATGAGAATATTATATTATGGTTATGTATCGCAGATAGGTAGCATAGAACAGTAAATGATAAAGTACATCGTACAATGTACATTGAATCGAGAATAAAAGCGTTGTGAGTGAAGGCAACGTTACGAAACATGAGCTCAAACGTCGCGGCGGTGCCGGGCGATGGATATAATATAAAGTATCAAATAAGAAAGCTCTGGAATAGTCGGTTCGATCATCAGGGGTTAAGACACAAGGTAGAGGTCAGTATTCGACCTACACGTTTCAAAACTTCTAGCGCCAGAAGCTTAAGGATACAAAAGATAAAGTTGCAGAAATAATTGGAAAGATTTTTCTTTAATAGAAGCGACATCTGCGTAGCTTCTTTTGCTCATGATGTTGGTGAAATGTTTCAGTCTATTTCTTATAAAAATTATTTTAAAAATATAACTCGCGATCACATGCCTGTACTTCAACCTCGTGTAAGGTTTGTAACTTTGTTATTTCTAGTTATCAAGTTTACGATGGCCATCAAGGAGGGCCACTTCCAAGTTCCGACTTCTGAGTTTGACTACTTACGGTTATTACTCAAAATTGCTGTATAATTTGAAATATTTCTTTATAAGTCAACATTGTAAACACTATGCAACCTAAAATGTTAAAAAAGAACTCTAAAACCTTAATAATTGAGATATTTACCTTAATTCTGACTTCTGACTTCCGAGTTCCGACTGCTGAGTTTCGAGTCGTGCCTAGTCGCTTTTCTTACTCTTTCTGTGTTTTAAACCAGTAGGGATTTATTTCACGATGATGCTAGTTGTACTCGTGTTGTTCTTTTGTATAAAACCTATCTCGTGTTTTACCAGCTTACACACCAGCCACGCAGGATGCTGGGTTAAATGTACAGAAACCAGTAATTCGAGCTTACTTCCTTCAAGGTTATTCTAACTACGAAATATTGGCTCGGCGTTGTGGGGTGTTCCAGTCGTGATTGCTTTGCAGTGTCAGTGCAATAGCGTCCATCACAAACTGTACAAGTTCTCTGTCGTCCTTAAGTCCCGATTGAAGCGCTAGGTCGGTTGCCTTCATCATGGCTACAACGCCTGCCACTAGTGTATTTTGCGACTTTTGAGTCTTGGAATCGCTGGTTCTCGAAGTAGCGGACATTTGATTCCATATCATGAGGTGGTTTACAAGTGGCTTCCTCAGACCAGTCACGTTCTGTGTTCGAGGGTAAAGATCAATCTTCGATTGAATCTTTTCTTCCGGTAACTTCTCTTTCAAGAGAGAGTTTAGAATGGTTGCCAGATTCTCGCTGGCATCTGGGCCAGTTTTCTCACTTGCATCTAAGTCGCGTGCGATGTCGTCCAAGACAGTGGGTTCTGATGGTTGTTTATGGATTAACTTGGCGACTTGTTCATCTAATCCGTCCTCGCCGCCGCCTTGCGTATCGTTTTGTTCCTCTTAAGATCCTTCGCTCGGATCAACGGGCTCACTTATGGCCAGTATATTTTCGTTCACTTTCTTTATCTCCTGGAGGAGAGCAGCGAATATTGAGCCAGTATCTGGCGGGTCCAACGGACGTTTACCATCTTCTTAACTTCAACTCCATCCCAAGGTTTACAATTTAAAAAAAGTAAACAAGAAAATACCATCGAGAAACACCTAGAAACACTAAAAAAACGTGATGATAAATGGCCAGAGTATAGGCTTAGAGCATGGGCTACCATGGTGGTAAGTTTCCACTACGCCTAAACAGTTAGTTTGTATCGGTACAGTATATTGTGCTTACCATTAGTAATCAAAGGAATTTTAGTAATGTGGGGCTCACTTCAGTGGGATTTTTTCAAACTATGATGATGATGATTATGATGATGATGATGATAGTATTTTATTTATATAACTACTGACAGTGTATTATATGCTGTATTGACTCTAGCAAACATTAATTATGATGTTAACTTTTACGAATACAATACACACTGACCGTGAATTAATTAAAGTTTTACATTTAGTATTATACATCATGACAACAGCTACAAACTGCAGCTATTACTGCTATGATTTTCAAAGTAAATAATAAAACGTACTGACTAAAATACAATTGTGCTATCTAGGCTTCAGGTTCACACTCCTCGCTCGAAAGTGCACCAGATGTTGCTTTCTTCGACACAACCGCAGAAAAAAAGGTTTCCAAAAATCAACCAATTGAGGAAACCGTTGCAGCAGCAATAGCTGCTTCTTTTGTTGCTGTGCAAGGACAACAGAACGAGAAAAGCGTCTCAAAGGTATGACAGACTTTACAATTGTGCATTGAATTTATTCATTCATTCATTCATCCATCCATTCATTCATTCATTCATTCATTCATTTATTTATTTATCGTGCAATACTCTATTTTGCTTTTAGATTGAAAGCAAAAGTGAGCTGATGAAACAGCTAAGGGATGTCAAAGACCTCCTGGATAGTGGGATAATTGACAAGCACGATTATGATGCACAAAGAAGTACCATTATGAACAAACTCAAAGCATGATAAAACATACACGTTGATATCATTTTGTTACTGTTCAAAATCGTTTTCTATACGATAATCGATATCGTTGTGATATAAAGTGTAAACAGACACGAAATAAGGTACTAATGTATAGAGACGTATTGAGAATTATCGCAACACAATTAACACTGACAAGTCTATTTTCACTATTATTGAAGAAATAGAAAACGTGCGCGCGTGCTGTGTGCAGTCATAAAGCAGGCGGGGATTGGCAGAACACGAGAGAAGTGTTAGGAGAAGCACGACGCGTAGCGGAGTGCTTCTTGACACTTCTCGAGTGTTCTGCCAATCCCCAAGTGCTTTATAACGACACACAGCACAGCAAGCAAGTTTTTTATTTCTTTTATGAAATACAGATTACAATAACCGTCATTTTAGATAGGAATGACGCAACGGAAAGTGCGCACGCGTGCAATGTGCTCACATAAAGCACGCGCTCCAAGCCAATCAGAACGCGGCATTCATAACAGTTATTTTATAAAGTACAAATATAATACTGAATAAAGGAACATTTTTCTCTTTAGTAAATGTATGACGGCTTTCTTTTCGCTTTATCTCATTGCCCTTCCTTCCTTCCTTCCTTCCTTCCTTCCTTATGTTAGTTCATCTTGCATATTCGCAATGACGAAATAATCCATGGCAATCAAAACTGCTTAATCTGTAGAACGCTTCTGTTATCAGGGGTTCTGGATCATCAGCTGATTCCATTACAATGTCGTTCATTCTTATGAAGTATTTCACTTTGCTGAATGCTTCCTCGATGGGGTTAAGATCAGGGGAGTATGGCGATAAAAATAAAAGCAGTGCACCAGCTCCTTCAATTAGTTCCCTGACTTGATCGACGTGATGAATTGCAGCATTATCTGTTAGGAAAATCATTTAATACGGGGTAAATATAAAAGGTAAAAATATCTCCACAGCGGGAATACTTCTATAAATGTGATAAAATTTGGAAGTTCAGTTTTCTTACCCATTATAACTACGGAATGCGAATTAATTCCATTAAATGGATTGATCACAGGTAAAAGGTGTCTTTGGATAAAGAACGCATAGTCATGTCCATTGACTGATCCTTTCACAGTTTGTGGACAACGCAAGCCGGACATTCCGATGGCTGCAATAGATGTGTGCCTTTCGCCTCTTACTGCAGTCCTTGTAATTTCTGCTCTTTTCCCCTTAAAGTTGTAGCCATAGTTTCTTACGAGGCGCCTGTCCTGGTTATGATAAATCGTCATTAATTTATGATTCTTGGACATTTAGAGCTAACAATCTTAAAATATTATATCAAAATTAAAACCAAATGATGTTCACGCGTGAAATTAAGGTGTAAATGCATACAATTGGGTGGCATGACAATGTACTCTTCGCGTTTATTCAAATGAATGCTAGCTGGCGTTTCATATTGTAAATAGAGACTACAGCAAAAACATCACAACAACAAATAACTCAAGAAGAAGGTCGAAAACACTTACGATTTCCAGTTTCATCTACAAACACCAACATCTCGGAGTTAAAGCTAGAAATCATTGCGCGATATTCAACCCTTGAAAGTTCATTTTTCTGTCTTGCCACTTTTTGAACCTAAAATAATTATAACACAGTATAAGCTGCATTTCTTTATAAAGTGAATGACAAATAATTCATAATCAACTGAAATACATTTTTACGTGTAATTACCAAACATCGGATGTTTCTAGATAGTGTCGATAAGTCATAGGAGTTCCCAGTCGCATTTAGAATCTTTCTCTTAATTTCCTTTAGCATTGTCGAAGAGTTATCTGAGAATGTTTATGTTTCGATAATCAGCAATTGTTCATGTGAGTGCAAGGTTGTTCGTCTCAAACTTCCATTTGTTTTATGCCATAATCGGATTAACAGCACCATTTTTTAAAAGCCGCCTTATAGTTCGCGTAACTGTAGACGGGGATATGTTGAGTATCTGTGAAATACTCTGAATAGCCAAAAGATATCTAAATTTGAGGTGCACAACACGCCAGCACAAGTCCTCGCTATGCATTTTCAAATTTCGCGCGAGACAACCGAAGAATTCAGAATTTCAATGAGATTACCCATAATGCACCCGATATAGTAGGTTTTCGATGGTAGATACAGTCAATTCAAAAAACGTTGTCGTCGACCGGCTCAAGCCTACGCGACTGGACCGAAAGGAATATGGGTAAAAACCACTGAAGCGGTTAAATATTCGTTCTGAATTAATCGTTCCCGCTAGTAATAAGATAATAATGGCGAGAAACAATCCATCAAATGCATGTCTTCAGGTTTAGGGAAAGAAAAACAAAGTAGTTATGATTCAGTTCACAATTCCGAAGATATGAAGGCATTAAAAAAAACGTCTCCTTCAACACTTCCCGCTCGCCTACGAAAGTTCGTGCTGTAAACCAGGCATAACTAGTCAGATAAAATTATGGAGTCAACTCGGCTTCAATGATTACTACCCAGAGTTCCTTTCAGTCCAGTCGCGTAGGCTTGAGTTGGTCGACGACAACATTTTTTGAATTGACTGTATATTTGAAATGGACGGTCATATATACACTTGATTGCAGAAAGGTTGTAGTAAATATTTATACAAATACCTAATTTATTCAGTATATTTAATGATATGCAAAACAGAAAACT